TAATAGTGCTTCTAATAACAATTATTTCTTACTTTACTTATTTGTTTTTTTTTTTTTTCAACACAATTAAATGTTTCAGATCTTAAAAAATAGATTTTAAAGAGACAGAGCTAATCCAAATAATTATAACATTGGTTTTTTTCAAATCATCTTACCTATTAGGAGAATCAAACGTTATCTTAACCATGAAAATGTAATTAATTAACTGTGGTTAACCATGTTTCTGTTCTATTTCAACCAGGCTTGATCACTGCCTGAACTGGAGATTTAAATACCTATTTAAATATAATTTGAATAAAGAAATTCAATGTCTATCAGTCTGGAAAGAGTAACAAAGCAAATTCTAAGCCGTTGAGACTACACTGAACAAAATTTAAATGATCTACAAAAGAGCTAAAAGGAAGCAGTCGAGATCTTCCTATAGGCGAAAATCTCTCTTAAGGCAAACCAACAAACTGGTTATTTTTCATGAGAGAGTTAAAAAAGTAGCATTCATAGGAGAGCTCGAATCGTAAAACCTAAAAGAAAACAATCATCCAACTTACAATATGTTCCCCAAAAAATATCTTAGTGATCTCCACATTATCTGTCGGGGAACAGCACTAGCTTCCCTACTGTACCACATGACTTCCAGTGATGATTCTGCTTAGCAGTCCGATGAACCTCAACGTCTGTCTTTGTTTCCTGCATATGTAAGCCCTGATTAGACTATCGTTTATCGTATCCTTTTCCCAAAAGCCGACTCTGTCAAGTATATTCACCAAAGGCTGCCTTCTTCGCCTGACTCTCTGCAAACAACAAAATATCGCAATTAACTTCTTGAATGTTACGGTCTCTGCCATGTTGATTTACTTGATTCCCTCAATCCTAATGAGCAGTAGTTTCCATAAATCGTCGGTAGGAGGCGAGGAAACGTGCTAGCATTGTGTGCAAACGGTCGTAAGGAACCAAGCTGCGCCCAGTTAACTGATCCAAGCTCAGTCCGAACTCGGCACAGAACGGTTTTAAGAAGGTAGTGTAAATGAGGCTTACACTGCACTGATATGACCTACAGTAAGACTGACTGTTTGAGTTTAGAAATCCTTTATCGTTCCTCAATGCAAACTATCATACAAAGAACACAATTCCTCCATAATGCTCTTAAAGACCATAAGTCAGTTACTGCAATCACTTGGTGGCATTTGTTGCTACAAGGGGACCACAACTAGTTATTAGACTAAGGGTGAAGTTACCTTTTCAATATTGGGCTGTTTGAGATTCAAATTGTAGCAAAAACTGGAGCGCATGATATGGGTTTAAAGTACCTTATTGCATCCTAGCCAGCAACTGCAGATGTAACACATTTGGAAGATTGTCCACCGGTTACAGTTGGAGTTTGTAATTTGTTTGCTTTATGATGGTAATTTAATAATATCAATTATCAGTATAAGAATTCTAAATATTTAATTTGTCTAAAATGTTAGTTCATCGCACTTAGTCTGAACAGATGACGGTAATGAATACTTTTTAAGGGTACTGCAACTCCTATCTATAGAGAGCTACACCAATGAATGCAGAAAAACAGACAGGTTCAGGCTAATCTAAACTCTCAATTCTTGATTAGCTTTCTATGTTTTAAAATATTACAAGGACAAAAGGAATAAATGCAACTTTTTTTTCATATGAGAAAACATTCTATATATTTTTTTGCTCACTTTGGAGGTTGTTGACCCACAGAGCTGAGGGAGAACGCCAACAGGGGTGGAAAAGAGGCAGGGAAAACAAGACAGAGGAGATAGCATGGGATAGTAGAGATGATTGGATACATGCTGCTATTGTTAAGGCAGGGAAACAGGACCCAGCAATCACATGCTTTCCATCTCATTAACACCTGTGAGGTGGTGGAAAAAGTTTCAGGGTGAAGTAAGAGGATTTATAGGGTCGAAACAAAAATTGGACTGGTATTGTTTTATTGATGGACCTAACAGAATGGATTCAATAATTCCATGTTAGACTTAATTAAAGTTCTGTTTACCAAACAAGCATCGCTGAGGGAAAAATGTGGACACCAGAACGAGAGAAATTTAGCTTACAAGATAAAATAGCTTGTGGAAATACACAGTGCTGGAACTAATTGAATTAAACATCATTAAAAGCTAACTGGGATTGCACTAGAAAAGACTTATTTGGTGTCACTTGGAAATAATGAGCACAATCCTGTGACTTTCATTCACAATTAGCCAGAAAAATCCTCCAAATGCTCCAGTGTTGCCTTTTTAATCATCTTTGCATATCTAGAAACAATCACCTCTGCATATTTTTGTCTTTGCTAAATAGGTGAAGATGAATCCAATTAGATGGAAATCATCTTAGATGTGCAATGTTAAAGTCTGCCACAGATGTTTTTACCACAGCACTCTACAAAATGCCTTGCAGCTTCTTATAGCTTGACTTAATGACTTTAAAGCTAGACTGAGATGACTTCTTTAAATGTTTAATGTTTTTCTCTACTTCTGTCTGTAATTTTGCCTTTGCAGATGCTATTCGTATTTAATATTTAAAAAATAATGTACAGGACTTTCCATACGTAAATAAAGGTTTATTAATAAAACAATGAAGGTGCATACTTTGACTTCATTCCTAAACATGCAGTGCTTTGATCTAAACCTTTCCACTGTAGCTCTGGTTGGGTGTTTACTATTACTGTCCAGCTGGAAGATAAACATCCAAGTCTTTTGCAGGCGTTAACAATTTTTATCTGTATTCATCTCTAACAGTTTTCCTACCCTGATAGACAGGATCATCACCAAAGTGATGATTTTTCTTTTTTTCTCTCATTGGTTTGTTTGTTTCTTTTTTTAACCCTTTTCTTTGTCTACGAAAACATTTTTACTTACCTAACCAGAGCGCTTTGTTAAAGGCCATGCTATCTGACAAGAGACTATTAAAAATCTCAGTTTTTTTATATATATATTCCTGTCTCCAAAACGCCACTTAAAGTGTGTTTAGGAGTCCTTCCTCCATGAATATAATTTCAGCCCTTTAGTTCAATATTTTGTGGAACCAATACTTTGTGTCAAAAGATAATCTGCGGTTTTGCCACTGATTTCTAAGTTGATTTATATTTGGACCACAGTGCCTCTTGTCAACACCATCTTTAGTGTTGACAAAAAATGTAACCATGACTAAAATAGCTGTTTTTTTGGATGTTGGGGTTTTATGTTTTGTTTTTCACATCTGGTCACATGGAGTGGGAGTCAATAGAAAACAAAATATCTATGAAGTCTGTTTACTATCTCTTAATCCTCCTTCATAAGCAGCCCCGTAACCAGCACTGAGAACACCTAGGTCATGTCCTCTGTGTTTTCCTGTTTTTTGTTTTTTTATTTATTTATTTATTTTTATTCATAGAAATGTCAAACTATATGATGAAAATTTTCTGACTTTGATTGGTGTAAAGATCAGCATGCATTCTCATTTCTTTAAAGAAAATAATAAAGTCCACAATCACCTTATAAAATCACATTATTTTAAAACTGATATCATAAATGCAGATATCTGAAATGCATATTTTAGATAGGAATATATATTCAGTCAAGCTAATAAATGCCAAAATGGCCTGCCATAAAAGCATGGCTAGGAATAGGATCCTCATCGTCCTCAGCAAGCATTTGAAGCAACTGTCACTAGGATTTTGTTTTACAGTCGGAGCCTACTTAAATCTATTGATGCACACGGGGCAAAATAATAGAATGAAATAGTACTATATTTTTCTTGAGGTAGCCTAGTTGTGTCGCTCGGGGAAAAATAATGTAGCCTAGACCTAATCAAACAGCCCGTCTACAACTTTGTTTTTAGGTTAGTTAGTTGTGTTGCTCATGGTGCATTACGAAGAATAAAGATTTCTGCTTCGGCTATTTTAAAACGGAGCAAAATAATATAATCAAACAGCTCGTATACAACTAACATTGTTCTTGAGGTTATTTCTTGCCCATGGTGCATTATGTAGAATACAGATTTCTGCTAAAGCTATTTCAAAGCAATTGACGCATACAGGGCAAAATAATATAATCAAACAGCCTGTGTGTGTAAACATACACTCGTTCTGCCATTGTAGTGAGGACCGTGTGTTGACTCCTCCCATTGACTTCCATTGATTTTCAGTCATTTTCAACCCTTTCTATGTCCTAACCCTAAAATTAACCTTATACCTAAACATTACCAATGCATACCTCACCCTAACCCTAACCAATTGACACCTTAGCCCTAACCATTAGCAAAAAAGCATGTGAGCACCAGGAAAATGTCCTCACTTTGCAACAACTGGTCCTCAATTTGATGGTGAACTTGAAAAATTGGTTCTCACTATGAGGGCTAGACAGGTGTACACACACACTCACTAAAATACTCTAAATTTTGTGAGTTTTGGAATAGTTATAATAAACATGTTTATATTCACCTCCTTGATGGCTTGTGATTGAACTCTCTTTATTTACATTTCCACAATATATTTTTAAAAAGTCACCATATTAGGATGTTTTTTCCTTTTTTTTTACTTCGGTATTTCAAAAACCCTGGTTACGGCCCTGTCGATAAGGTGTAACCAGGGCTCCTAAATCGGGGGCCCCTGTCTGTGTTACCGCGGCGCCGTCTGGTGGCTGCTGGCGTGAATCGTGACAAAACGGTTTTAGTTTTCAGGCAGAATGAAGAGGAGAGAAATATTTGCCGACTTCCAGGACCTGCAGTGTGGGAACCGAAAGGTTTATTCCATTCCAAGGAAATGACAGATACTATGGGAACCCATACAGGTTGCACATGCTTATGTGGAGCGTCATGTTTAACTGACATCTGGAGTGACAGCCATCCAGGTTGCGCACGCTCCCTCCCACCGCAACTAAGTGTCTCTGAAGCCCAGAGTTGACGGGAGGTAATCCCCTCCATGTGAGTGGGCGGTGCGGGTACCGGAGGCGTGTTTTTTCCTTCTATTATTCAAATGCTGCTGTACCTATAAAAAGAGGTCCTTTCCTGCGTCAGATAGTATTCTCCAATGGCTAAAGGTGACTAAATCTCAGTTATCTGAGTGTCGTCCTCTGGGAAGAGATGATGGACGACTCCGGCGGTGTCCAGATGGCGAGGGCGCTGAAGCACGCAGCCCTGTGCCTGATGCTGCTGCCCCGGTTCCTCCTGGCCGCCGTCATGCTCTGGCTCCTGGATTTCTTGTGCATCAGAAGAAAAGTGCTGCTGAAAATGGGCGAGCGCCTGGACAGCCCGGATGACCCGCCGGTGTGCGTCTCCGACTCCAACAAGATGTTCACCTGGGAGTCCCTCAGGGCCGTGTGGCACGGCCAGAAGCTGGACTTTCTCAAATCGGCGCACCTCGGAGAGGCTGCGCCCAACACCGAGGTGGTGCTGGTCCAGGAGCGGCGGCAGGTCCGGATCCTGGACTGCACGAAAGGGAAGAGACCGCTGGTCCTCAACTTTGGCAGCTGCTCCTGACCGCCGTTCATGACGCGCCTGGCGGCGTTCCAGCGCGTCGTCAGGCAGTATACGGACATCGCGGACTTCTTGGTCGTATACATCGAGGAGGCGCACCCGTCAGACGGCTGGGTGAGCTCCGACGCGCCTTACCAGATCCCCAAGCACCGCTGCCTGGAGGACAGGCTGAGAGCCGCGCAGCTGATGCTCACCGAGGTGCCAGAGAGCAACGTGGTGGTGGACAACATGGACAACTCGTCTAACGCCGCGTATGGAGCCTACTTTGAGAGACTTTACATCGTGATGGATGAGATGGTGGTGTATCAGGGAGGGAGGGGTCCGGAGGGCTACCGGATCTCAGAACTGAAAAACTGGCTGGAGCAATACAGGAAGGAGGTGGTGGACCCCCAGTCTGCGGTTCTGTGTGTGTAGCTGCTCTGTCCTCTGCTTTAGTGTCCAACCCACAGTGCAAAATATCCAGATGCTGCTATCCAACGATCACTCATGGCACATTATATTATATTTGTTGTTTCTCCTGCAGGACTGTCAGATAGAGGTTCAGCCTTTAGCCTATAGATTGTAGGCTGCTAAAACTGTGTTGTCATGACTTTTAATTGATTCCTCTATTTTTATTGTATGGGGGGAAAGTGTTTGAATCTATTGAAACTGGGTTCAGTTAGTGAACGCTCTATTTTTCTACTGTGTGTGTGTGTGTGTGTGTGCGTAAAGGAGCGCGCGTTCAGCTTAATATCTCACTCTGGCGTCTGTGTGAAGTTCGGTTTTTAAAAGGCGCATCCAGAAAACCGACACTGATGTTTCTGACACTAGAAGCAGAGCAATATTAGCTGGATGATCTCTCCCTATGTGGTTCACTGCCAAATGTGACGTTAAAAACGATGTAACTGAACAAATATGTCTTGTTTTTTAATAAAATTCAGATCAGATGGAGGGGGGGAAATACATTAAAGGATTTTTTTATATTTATTATTTTGTAAATGTCTTGCTTTTGAAATAATGGTCAGTCTTTACCTTAACTACAACAAAATATGTAAGGATGTAATCTAAACAAAGGGTGTCCTAATTCTGGAAAGTTTGGGATGATTTTAGACCTTTTGATGCAGTATATAAGATCTCATTAATACCAGGCCTTATATTCATATTAAGTTTAAATTCAAGTGATCTTTTTTATATATATAATTTTCTTTTTTAAATTGGTACCTGCAGAACAGATATCGATTAATCCAAACACTGTTGCCCTATTCAATTATTAAGAGAATTACCACTACTTTATTCTTGTTGCTAAACATTGTTTTTTTATCTAAAGCAAGAGACCAAAATTAAAAATCTACCCTTAAAAAATGTGGGAAACTAAATACCTTCGTTTTGCTAATAAAGCAAGGAGATGAGACCATTTTTATGTTTCTGATAAACAATAATTTATCAATACCTTTTTCTTTACTTGACAAAAATAAGACAAATAGAAAAAAACATACCATGCATGGCCAAGTATTAACCTGAACATGTTGTCAGAGTAGGGTACGGTATAGGCAGTATAATGCAGTGGGGATGGAGAATTACCACTATTTTATTCTTGTTGCTAAAAAAAATTTTTTTATCGAAAGCAAGAGACCGAAATTAAAAATCTACCGTCAAAAATGTGGGAAATTAAATACCTTCGTTTTGCTAATAAAGCAAAGAGGTGAGGCAATATTTATGTTTCTGATAAACAATAATTTACCAACACCTTTTTCTTTCCTTTACAAATATAAGAAAAAAAAACTAAAACATACCATGCATGGTCAAGCATTAACCCAAACATGTTGTCAGAGTAGGGTACGGTGTAGGCAGTATAATGCAGTGGGGATGCTTCAGCAGGAAAAAGGAAGAAAAAAAGCATTTATTCAGCTTTTATTTCCTCCAGTATTAAGCTTAGTCATCTATAACCGACTTTTCAGGCGGTGCATCTATCCATGTACATTTAATGTTTCACCTCTTACCAATGCACCTGCCTCCACATTATTGTTTTATACCATACATGGCTTATACCCATCGTTCTTTTTACTCTTCTTCACTGTTAACAGATTCTCCCACCTTAGCTTTGGAACCAGTAATGTAAGTTACATCAGTTTAAACATAATTAAATAAAACTTTTCAGATTTAAGAAAAAAATGAAAGGAATTAGGTTAACTAATATGCAGAAAGTGATGATGGAAATTTGAATATTTATTATTTAACGCTTCAAATGTCCATATGATCCATCAAGCCACTATTAATGCTTGATGAAAAAGGATACAGCTGACAAGGCCCATATCTTCATATCGTTTAATTGAAAGTGCATGTTTATTTGAACAAAGCTTTTCTTGTTTAGGGCAAAAATAGCAAAGGCTGTTTAGGTCATGTCTGTAATCTGTCCATCTTCACTCGCCTTTTTGCTCCTGTTAGCTCATTTTCAGCTGCGTACAAACACACATCGACAAATGCAATTTGGATTACAGAGCAATGTGAATGCTGTTGATCCCATGTGGTCAGACTTGCTACTGTGTGGGTATAATTTGCCCAGTTGTCGGTTGCGTGTAGGTCCTGAAGGATCAACGTGGCAAGCAGCGAATGGGGCTGAGCTAAAAGCATGGCTGGATATGCCCCCTTGGAGGGATTGTTTCCTGATTAAAGGGGGGGGGGGGGATCAGACTGTGTTTAAACTGCCAACCTTGAGCCAGGTTAGAGCTCAGGTTGGGAAAATATAATAATATAAAATAAGTCAATTAACATTGTGTGTCCAAATATGACAAAGACAGACTGAGAACTCAGAGGAGGAAAACAGATTGTCAGTATCAGCCATCAAGCCGCTTTTTTTTTGCTGATAGGTAATCTAAAGAGGTCAGGGGCTTTCAATCCTGCTTTCTTGTTTACCTACAGTGAATATATTATCACAGCTCCAGTCGTTAATAAAATAAACAATCAGACAGACTGGCACATGATTCTGGAGCACTTTGTGCACCGAAGATTAGATTAGCTTTATCTGGCCAAGCAGCCGATAAACTAACACTGCTGTTCTGTTCTGCTACTGAGTGACAAACGTCAGAGAGCAGCAGTGGAGGAGGTATTTAGAAATTCTGCTGAAATAAACAGGAGCATGAATATAATAAACAATAAATATTTATACCTTTTAAGTTTTTTCATATTTTTAAACCTTCTTGTATTCTGTTAGGATTTTTGTTTAATGGATCAATCATGGAATGCATCCAGAAAGTATTCACTGCACCTGTTATAGTAATTTTACAAAAAGAAAACTAAGAAGTGAAATGTATATAAGTATTCAGAGCCTTTGCCTAATGCTTTGATGGTAGAAATTACAGCCCCAAATCATTTTGAATATGATGCCTCAAGTTTAGAAAACCTCTTTAAGCAATTTGTCGTATTATTCCTTCCATTTAGTCTTAAGCTCCATCAAGTTGGATCAGAGAAATATGAAAAAAAACAAACCTTCGCCTCAGTGTAAGGTCCAATGAGCTTTAGATGGTGTGTCTCTCCATTGCTGCATTAGTCTTCCAGCTCCTGCTGCTGAAGAACCTGCCCATAGCATGATGCTGCCCCTACTTTGCTTCACTCCAGGGTTTTTATTGTCTTGGTGATGAGCAGTGTCTGTTTTTTTCCAAACAGGATGCCAGGTATTTATCAATCTTTGTCACATCATAGCAAATAATTTAGTTTTTCGTGGTCTAATCTTTCTGATACTTTTAGCAAAATCTTGATGCGCTCCCATGTACTGTTTATCAAGGAGTGGCTTCGATCTAGCCACTCAACTATACAGGGCTGATTGTTGCAAAGATGCGGTCTGTTTGGTAGAGTCTCCTCTTTCCACAAAAGAACGACGGATGTCTGACAGAGTGACAGTGGAGCTCTTGGTCACCTACCTGATTGAGGCCTTTCTGCCTCGATTTTCACAAGATGGAGGCCAATATGTTTAATACTCACTATCCTGTCCTCTCAGGTCAGAGTCTTAAATCAGATCATCTCACTTGTCTAAATTTAAGTAAACTATAAAAAATAAGAATGTGTTATTATACAGGAACAAAATCTGTCAAAAGTCTATAGAAGATGTGAGACTGGGAGGGGATTACTACATTTAAACACAACCTGCCACACACAGATTAAAATGAGAGAATGATAATAATTCAATGTCAAGAATCAGAATCAGAAATACTTTAATAATCCCAGAAGGAACTTACTTTTGTTACACGCTCCAGTTATAGTTTTATATATTTATATATATATATATATATATATATATATATATATATATATATATATATATATATATATATATATATATATATATATATATATATATATATATATATATATATATATATATATATATATATATATAAATATATAAAACTATAACTGGAGCGTGTAACAAAAGTAAGTTCCTATATATATATATATATATATATATATATATATATATATATATATATTAGTGTTGCACCGATACCGATACCAGTATCGGACGGGGCCCCGATACTGCCCTAAAATTGTGGTATCGGTATGGGCGAGTACCAGCAAATAGGGCACAGATACCATTTTGAGAGCCATAAGTTTATTCAACTATTGTCACCCACTCCTGGTAAGCAATAAAAACTTTTTATTTTTATTATCCAGTAGAACTTTTTATTAAAAATTTCTACTGGATTCACATTGTATTAGACTTTTTCCTGCTTCACAAAGGTAGGCAGCAGCTTGACAAAGCCATGATGGCAATTATTTTACATTATTATGGTATCGGTATCGGCCGATACTGCACAGCCAGGTATCGGTATCGGGCCCAAAAAATGGCATCGGTGCAACACTAATACACTATATTGCCAAAAGTATTTGCTCACCTGCCTTGACTCACATATGAGCTTAAGTGACATCCCGTTCCTAATCCATAGGGTTCAATATGACGTCGGTCCACCCTTTGCAGCTAGAACAGCTTCAACTCTTCTGGGAAGGCTGTCCACAAGGTTTAGGAGTGTGTTTATGGGAATTTTTGACCATTCTTCCAGAAGCGCATTTGTGAGGTCGCACACTGATGTTGGACGAGAAGGCCTGGCTCTCAGTCTCCGCTCTAATTCATCCCAAAGGTGTTCTATCGGGTTGAGGTCAGGACTCTGTGCAGGCCAGTCAAGTTCATCCACACCAGACTCTGTCATCCATGTCTTTATGGACCTTGCTTTGTGCACTGGTGCACAGTCATGTTGGAAGAGGAAGGGGCCAGCTCCAAACTGTTCCCACAAAGTTGGGAGCATGGAATTGTCCAAAATGTCTTGGTATGCTGAAGCATTCAGAGTTCCTTTCACTGGAACTAAGGGGCCAAGCCCAGCTCCTGAAAAACAACCCCACACCATAATCCCCCCTCCACCAAACTTTACACTTGGCACAATGCAGTCAGACAAGTACCGTTCTCCTGGCAACCGCCAAACCCAGACCCGTCCATCAGATTGCCAGATGGAGAAGCGCGATTCGTCACTCCAGAGAACGCGTCTCCACTGCTCTAGAGTCCAGTGGCGGCGTGCTTTACACCACCGCATCCGACGCTTTGCATTGCACTTGGTGATGTATGGCTTGGATGCAGCTGCTCGACCATGGAAACCCATTCCATGAAGCTCTCTGCGCACTGTTCTTGAGCTAATCTGAAGGCCACATGAAGTTTGGAGGTCTGTAGTGATTGACTCTGCAGAAAGTTGGCGACCTCTTCGCACTATGCGCTTCAGCATCCGCTGACCCCGCTCCGTCAGTTTACGTGGCCTACCACTTCGTGGCTGAGTTGCTGTCGTTCCCAAACACTTCCATTTTCTTATAATACAGCTGACAGTTGACTGTGGAATATTTAGGAGCGAGGAAATTTCACGACTGGATTTGTTGCACAGGTGGCATCCTATCACAGTTCCACGCTGGAATTCACTGAGCTCCTGAGAGCGACCCATTCTTTCACAAAT